CCCCCCCCAGGAACACTGGCTCTCAGGAGGTGCACCAGTGGTCTCAGGGGGTGCATGTTCACCCCTGTGCACCCCCGATGCATTGCCACTGGGCAGCAGGGCACTGTCTGAGCGGCAGAGGAGGTGAAAGCAACCTGGACTGGAAGCAGAAGTGGGTGACTTGGGGCTTTCCTTTGCTGCCCAAGTTCAGAGATTCGCAATTCATTTTCTAAAACTCCCATGCATTTTAAGGATCTGAGAGAATAGGCGCAATAAGGAAAGTACCAATTAAAAGAGGTGATCAACACCTCTCTCGCTGGGTCGATCCCCAGGAGAGCTGCTCTGCCAAAGGCATCTTGCACACCACAATCAAGCAGGGGCTGGCAGCAGAGCCGTACTGGGGGGTATGATCACCCTGTCTGGGACTGCCATGGACACACATTCCAGGAGCACGGCTGTAGTTTGTGGAGCCCGTCTGCAGAGTGGCTGGGCTTTGATTTGTAGTTATAAATAAACCTGCTGTGCACTTGATCCCACTGCTGAAGATGATCGCTCCTTTCTGATCTGGGAGGAGCATCTCTGGACTGGAAGGGAGGGATGACTTTGATGTAAATGAAGTTGGCTGGTGGGTGCAACAGTGTCTAAGAGCACAGTGGGGTCTTAGCCCAGGGCTGCGGGTCCTAGGGACAATGGTAACAGTAATAAATAGGAGGAAGAGCTGCCCAAAGGGTCACTTCTGTTTGGTAAGGTGAGAATACTCTGAAGTCCAGGAGTTCAGTCAAACAATGCCAGTCTCAGCCCTGCATTAGCACTAGGCAGACTCTGAAGGGCGAAGAGTTCCTCTTCCCCTATGTGAAAGGATGGGTGGTGTTTCCTCAGTGGAAATGTGTATGGGATATTTTCTCATCAGGAGTTGCTCAGCATTTAGAGATGAGTGCCCACTTCCAGTGGGGGGTGGTGTTTGAGAGGGGAAGGCAGCTGCTCTTTGCCGCACTAACTGACCCAGTGATCCCTCTGCTGCCCAGCCCTCTGGTTTACAGGCCTGCCATGGCTGTTGAAGGGACTTGCAGGTGAGGGCTGCATGACGCTGAGCCTGTTGCTAACTGTTCGTCT